CGGGGAGGAGTTGGACACGAATCCAGGCAGTCCGGCTGCAGAGCCTTCTCTGAACTCTTCCACCAGCATCTGGTGCTCACGTTGTCATCCGATTCTTTCCCTTTGTGTCCTCTCTTTTTGGTCACTTTAGAGTCATCCAGCTCGATTCAGTAACTTCTAAGGGAAAGGGTTGCACAAAGGCCCAAGCCAGCATCTGGGGAGAGGTATTTGGTAAAGATGTTCTGAAGACAAAGATGACGATGGTGATCCGATCACGCTGTTGCCCTGGTACCTGATGCTCATTTGGGAAACCCCCACAGAGCATGCGGCCTTGGCCTCTGAGAGCATTCTTCAGTTTTCATGTTGGTTGGTGGGGTTTCCTTCTGGATCAGAAGGTCCTCTTGCCTATCCATTTTGTTTCAGGATGCATCAAAGAGGAGGTGGATAGCTGGTCTGCAGCAAGGGCTTCCCTGGTGGCTCAGAAGGTAAAGCATCTGCCTGCAATTCGGGAGACGTGGGTTCGATCCCTGGGTAGGGAAGATCCCCTGGAGAAGAAAATGGCAGCCCACTCCAGTACTCTTGCCTGGGAAATTCTGTGGATGGAGGAGCCTGGTGGACTACAGTCCCAGGGATTGCAAAGAGTCGGACATGACTGAGCAACTTCACTGGATGGATAGAGAGTAGAAGACACTTCCTCTGCCCAAGCAATAGTCTTAACCTTTTCTCTTTTCCCTTCCTCCTGAAACAACTACAATTAAAACCCCATAATAAAAAAGGTGGCAACTCCTACAGGCAAGATGATTTTAGGTGCTACTCAAGATGTATAATCATGATACATCGACATGACATTGCATCACATTATATGACACAATTCCCTTTGAAAATTCCTCCTATTCTATCATTAGAAAGGTGCTCAGCTTCTTCAGTCATCAGGGAATTCCAAAATAAAACCATAATTAGATACAACTACATATTACCAGAACATTGAGAAATGATGGAAAATGCCAAGTGTTGGTAAGGATGGGGAGAAAGTGGAAGCCTTATAAAGCTGTTGATAGGAGGATAGATTCATACATTTATTTGGCATGACTTTCTGGCTAGATCTCCGAGAGCTGAGCATTGGTACATTTCGTGATCCAGAAATTTCACATCCAGGTAGGGAGGCCACGGAAATGTGTGCCTAACAGGAGAAGGGACGAACAACTACATGCAAGATTATGGACAGATCTCATGAGTGTAGGGCTGAGCAGGGGAAGTCAGAGACAAAAGGCTACATGTTGTACAGTTTCATTTATATGAAACGTAAAAATGGGCAAAACTCAAAAATGCTAGTAGAGGTCAGGATAATGGTTTCCCTTGGTGGGGACGTAACACCAGAAGGCAGCAGGCAGGGGTCTTCTGTGCGCTGTTAATGATCTTCATCAGGTTATATGGGATTCCTCAAACAGTCCTCGAGTTTATGATACATGTACTTTTTTGCATGTATGTTACATTTCAATAAAATGTTTTAAAAAACATTCCTCTCCTTCTGATGACTTAATGGAGAAAAATTTCAGCTTGGGTCAGGCTTGCCTTTACTACTGCTCTTTAGACTTGGCTCATCTTTTGTTAACCAGAGGAGTATGCCAGCCTCGAAGTCTGCAGCAAGCAAGAGGTAAGCAACTTGAACTGAGTAACATTGTTTTGTTTTCGTTGTGTTTATTTTTATGGTTGCTATCTATATATGGCCATCCATCAATACTCCTTTTCCATTTATGGTAGTGATATAAAGTTGCATTAAAAAAAGCTTTAAGTAAAAAAGGAAAAAAAAGGGGGATTGACTTTCATTAAGAAAATATTATGTAAATAATAGTACAGGTGGTAGTTAGTTACGGTAAACCTTGTGAGGGTGGGGTTTGTGAAGCACTTTTCAAATGGAAAAAAGCCAGGGATTAGGGGAAGGGGAGTAAACCAGTTGCAGCCTGTCCCCATCTCTCAAGGAGTCCTCACTGCCTCATCCTCAGCACAGACAGGCTCTCAGGACAGGCCTAAGGACATCACAGAGGAACTCATGAGAAAGGTAAAGATAGATATGCTCTAGGGGGCTAGGAGCTGAGTACCTGCGTTCACTCAGGATTTATCCAGTCTGTGTGTACCACGCGCTGTTCCAGGCCCTGGGACTGCAGTGATGAACAAAACGGAGGAGTCCCAGGCCAGCTAGTAACCTGCATGGGGTCTTTGTCAAGCCCTTGCTCCTCTTCTTGAGACTTTAGTCCACTGAGGATGTTCTGTGATTGAAGCCTCAGCAGAAGGTGGACTTTCTGGAGTAGGACTGTAGACTTCAGGGTGGTTAGGAAAGGACTTAAAAAAGATGGGGCTGCTGGTAGTGACTGAATGTGCATACACAGGGAGGAGGATTACTCTTATTAATCAGGGAACAAAGAGAATTGGTGGAGGATCTTCAGACTCGTCAGAAAGAAAATTTTCATTGAGCACTTGGCATGTGTCAAATTAGCCTTTGCCCGCTCATCTCCATGGTTATTGGCTAAGAGATCAAGAACTTTAAAGGAGATGGAAGAAGAATGCGTCTCAAAAGATAAGTGAGGAGCTGAATGAATGACTGAATGCCTCTCCTATCCTCTCAACAGCCTCATAATTGAGCCTTACCTTTCGTCTCTAGCTACTGGGCACTGCAATGGCAACTGATTATCAGGGCCCTGAGAGGAGTATTTCCAGAGACCATACTTTTCATTCATTCAGCACATTTATTGAGTGCCTACAAGGCTAGTTCAAATTGAAATGTGCTGTAAGCAGAAAATTGGCACTTCCCAGGTGGCTTAGTGGTAACAAATCTGCCTGCAATGCAAGAGATGTGGATTCGATCCCTCAACCAAGAAGATCCCCCGGAGAAGGGAATGGCAATCCACTCTAGTATTCTTGCCTGGGAAATCCCATGGACAGGGGCGCCTGGCAGGCTACAGTACTTGTAGCTGTAGCCCAAGCCTCCAGTCTTGGGTTGCCAAGAGTCGGACACAACTGAGCACACACAGACACATAAGCATAAGATACATCTCAGAGTTTGAGGATTTAGTATGAAAAAAGGAGTGTTAAATCTCTAATAACTTTTAATATAGACTACACCTTGAAATGATATTTTGAAGAAACTAAAGTATATACTAAAATGGGTTTCATCTATTTCTTTTTACTATATTTTAGCATGACTACTAGAAAATTGAAAATTGCACATGTGGTTCACGTTTGTGGTTTGCAATAGATTTTTATTGGACAGCATCATGCCAGAGTGTGTCTACTCTGAAGATGCTCAGACTCTAGCGGATGAGACCAATAGAAACAAATGTTGCAAGGTTGGCACAGGATGCTAGGGTCACCAAAGGGTGACCAGCAGCTTCCCATGCCTGTCTCTTCTTAGTTCCATCAGATCTGCACTAGATACAGCTCTGTGATTTCCAGAAGTCCAGCTCTATTTCACTCCTCTGCCCAAACACTGACACTGCGCCTCCCTGCCCATTATATGAAGCCAACCCTCCACCCAAGTCAACTGGATTTCCTGCCAGTCCTCCCCCTGCCTCCAAGCCTTTCTCCATCCTTGCTTTCCTATTTTCAGGTCTTTGCTTTAGCTGGTCCCTCTGCTCAGGATGCCCTTGCTATGTCTTTATGTCCCCTGGTAGAATTCCAAGCTTCAATTTAAATTCTGATCCACCCCTGCAATCCCCATCACCTTGCCATTTAAACATTTCTCCTCCTCAAAGCCTCTGACAACCAGTTATTTGTTCATCTCACCAAACTCACCCCCATAACATTGTTGGTTCCTTAAGATCAGGCACTTGCCTTCCTGGGGCATGGCGCTGACTTTCAAGGCCAGGTGGCCACGTGGTAGGGTGGCATGGAGGTATTGAGAAATCAGACCCAGGCTGGAGGCAGTTCAACGGTCCTATTCCTACCAAGAAAATCTGAAAAGAATCTTTGTTAGGGTCACAAGAGATGTGTGATAATTCAAGTGGGGTCCAGCCTGGAATTTCTGTGAGTTGGGGACAGCTTGGATGGATGAGTCAGTAAATCAAGCTGAACAATGAAGGGAGGCCATTCTTGTCCACCTGCATTTAATGGAGTGAGCTCTAAGTGACCTTACTGCAGGGCATTGTCCCACAACTGGAACACTGCTCCGACCTAAGACCCCTGAAGCAGGGTGTTCTGTCCTGCTTGTCCAGGGTGATCTGCAGTGGGTGCAGTGGGGCAGGTCCCCAAGGGATTCTCTGCGGAGGGAGGGGGTGTGGAGCTGAGTAAGCCCGGAAGAGGGGAGATTTCTTAGTGTCCAGAAATTGTATTTCAGGTATTTACACGTTACCAGATGCCTGCAGGGTTGGGAAATTGCAATAGTCCCTAAGAGGGGCAGTTCGGGGGTAGGCTGATCTAGAGGACGTGAACAGCCTCCCGACTCCGAAGTCACTGTCCCAAGCAGCACGTCAGCAGTGGGGGAAAAGCCGAGGATGGAGGGAACTGCTGGGAGTAGACTGAAATCTACTTGAAGGTCATGCCTGACGTCCTCTGCATTCCCTCCAGCAGTGAGCCCAGCGCCGGCCACATGGGAAGCGCACAAACGAAGTCCTTCCGAATTGAACCGAAAACAGGAGACAAAAGCACCCACTCCTGCCCACTCCCGCGCCGATCTTAGCCCAAACCCCCAAGTTATTCTCATCTTCCTGGAGTCAGGGAGCCCGCGGTGGAAGTGCGTGAAGGGACGGAGGCCAGAGGGTGTAGGGGACCCACGCTGCATGCGAGGAGGTGGGGGTGGGCGAGTGGGCGTGCGCGCACGCAGAGGCCCGCGCGCGGGAGTGTCGGGGGAAGGGGGTGGTCTCCAAAAGGGGGAGGGGAGAAGGCAAGGGGGCGGGGAGAAGCAGGGCCCTTTAGGACCCGGCTGCGGCGGCGGGGGTGGAGAAAGAAGCGGAGGAGGCGGCTCCCGCGCTCGCAGGGCCGTGCCACCTGCCCGCTCGCTCGCCGCCGTCGCGCTCACCGCCGCCAACATGCAGCCGAGACTGGGCGGCCCCGCGCTGCCGCTGCTGCCGCCGCTGCTGCTGCTGCTGCTGCTGGGCGCGGGCGGCGGCGACTGCGGGGCGCGCGCCGAGGTGCTGTTCCGCTGCCCGCCCTGCACGCCCGAGAGCCTGGCCGCCTGCAAGCCCCCGCCCGGCGCCGCGGCTGGGCCGGCCGGCGACGCCCGCGTGCCCTGCGAGCTGGTCCGCGAGCCAGGCTGCGGCTGCTGCTCCGTGTGCGCCCGGCTGGAGGGCGAGCGGTGCGGCGTGTACACCCCGCGCTGCGGCCAGGGGCTGCGCTGCTATCCCAACCCGGGCTCCGAGCTGCCCCTGCGGGCGCTGGTCCACGGCGAGGGCACTTGCGAGAAGCACGGGGATGCTGAGTATAGCGCCAGCCCCGAGCAGGTTGCAGGTAACGCGGGGCTGAGACAACTAGTTGGGAGAAACTTAGAGGGCGGGGGGGTGGGGAGCCCGGCTAGCGGCCCTTCTGGAGGGAAGGAGTGTACGGCGGGACCTCAGAGACCGTTCTAACGGAGGAAGAGCAGGGTCCTGGGCCGGCTCTGGGTGGGGGTGGGGGCGTTGTTGGAGGGGGGAAGACCCGAAAGTCAGGCCCGGGGAGAGGAACTGGAGCTGGAGAGAGCGGAAGATCCCCGGCTACTAATTTGGTGGGGAATAATACGGAGAGAGAAGGCATCCCTGTTACCTTAGGCTTCCCCGGTGAAAGGCAGCCGACTTCTGTTTTGGAGGGGGGATTTGCTGGGGAGGAGGGTGCTGGCCAGATCGGTGGGAGTAGGAGCTTGAGGCTTATCTGGGGCACCACTTGAGCTAGTGGTCGCCGGCCGAAGGTTCCCGGAGAGGTCCCGGTGGAGGACGCTGCCCGGGGTGGGGGTGGGGGGTGCGGGGGCGGAGGCTGGCGGGTACCGGTGACACCAGGGACCTCTAGTGAGAAGGGGGCGCTAGGAGAAGGCAGCGGCGCGTTGAGGTCCCTTCCTTCTGGGATTGTGAGGTGAGAAGAAAAGACTTGTGCATACTTTTTGTAGGGTGGGCTGCCTAGGAGTAAAAAAAAAAAATAGGAACGCTGCTATTTTACAGAGAGGACGAAGAAGGCGCTCGCTTTTGTGTTGGGTGGAATGATAAAAGAGGAGCATTGAGCATTTGGGAGGCGAGGAGACCCCAACCGTTGAGTCACTGTAACTCAAGCCAGGTCGCCGGCTGCATGCAGTCTGGGGCGCGGGCAGCCTTGCCGCTCATTTTAGCATCTGGGCCCCCGGGCGTCCGGGCGGGAGGATGCCCCAGCCGGGACGCAACTACCCTTACCGGAGCGAGGTGTTGCCCCCCGCCGTCCCATCCTAAGTGACGGAGCTCTTCCTGTCCCATAGAATGGGGGCTCCGAGATTCTTTGTAAGGAGCTCTAAGCCCCCGCCCCCTTCCCCCCAACAAGTTTTTTTTTTTTTTGGACACAACCAGACTCTAAATATCTCACTTTTTTTTTTGTTGTTGTGTTTTTTCTTTTTCTTTTTTTAATTACAAAAGCCTCCTGCTTCAGTGGTCTGAAGGAAGCTGTAATTATTTTCTTTCCTCTTGGAGACAGTGGTGAAATGTGTTCACTGCCTGCTGCCGTTGTTTAAAAAGCAAGCGAGTCTGACCAAGTTTCTCAAACTTAGAGACATTTACAAAAAGAAGGAAGGAAGAAAAGAAAAAGTGAAAAATTCTTGCTCCCTTCTTAGTCTTGACCCCCTTCCCCCTGCGCACCCCCCACCCCCCTTTCCTTCAGCCTACTATTGTTTTTTGCCTGTTCTTAAGACAAGTAGGGGTCAGAGTTGAAATTTTTTTACGGTCGCATTTTGACCTTGAGTGCACAGCAAGTTAGGGCTTCCTCCAGCGGAACCCCTCAGTCCCTTTCTTCTGGCTGGGGCTTGCCTCCCTCCCCAGCCCGCCTGGAGGTTAACCCTTCCAGCTTCCCTTAGAAAGCGCTAATGCCAGGGAAAAGAATCTGCAAAGTCCTTTCACTGCGGGCGCCCATCCCCCCAGCCTTGCGTCCGCTCCCCGCAGCCCCCCGCCCCCCGGGGTCCAGCGGGAGGTACTGTGGTTTTCTGAACTGAACTCTTGACAAACTAAACATCTCCCCCAGCAGGGTGAACTTTTGTTCAGAAGGCCTCCAAGTTCATAGAATCCTTTGGATTTTGACTGTTGTAACCAAGTGCGGTAGTACACGTCCTTCCTAAACGTTTTAGTATTTTTTGTTGTTGTTCTTCGTTCTTCTCACTTTCTGCCTGAAAAACCAACTCCCCTGCCTCCCAACCCCCGAGGCAGGTCAGGGCTCTTCAGAAGAGACCAGATGCGGGGAATTCTCCCCATGCACCCCTCCCTGGAGTCGTCAGGGGAGCTCGGGGACAATGGGGTGAGTTCACGGGAAGAATGTCACAGGGTTCTCTGCCTGGTTATGGGACTCCTTTCCGCCAGCTAGCCCCAGCTGCCTCCTCTGCCTGCTCCCAATGGCCAGCCAGCCACCTTCCGCATTTTTCTCTTGTGTTGCACGTTGGGAAGAGGGGACACGGGGTGGGGGGGGATGTGGGGTGGAAGCTGAGTGGGTGCCCTGGAAAGAAGTGCCAAGAGCAGGGTGTCTGCAGTGTGAGGAGGGCTGGGGGGAAGGGGACACTGTTGGGAGAAGCCTGGGCTTGCAGGGGTGGGGAGGGGTTGGGGGAGGGGGTGCAGGGAAGAGAGAGGGGCGAGTTTGGAGGTTCCTGCAGGAGAGGGTCCTGGGCTGGGGCAGGGATTGGGATGCTGAGTAAAGAATACGGAGGTCCGAGTTGGGTGGGGTGGCCCAGATGAGACCTTAGCACTGAACGCCACTGCCTCCACTCCATCACCCATCTCTTCTCCCCCACTCTGAAGAATAACGCCCCCCTCCCCATCCCAGCCTGCCTTCTTCTGTGAGCAGGTTGCTTTTTGAGCATTTTAAACACACCCTTCTTATTTCGAGGCAGCAAACCCCAGCAGTTCCGGCTTTGCTGTTAGCTCTTTTGTCTTTGTTCCCAGGACTCAGGGGCTGTGCTGCTGGCTTCCTGGGGATGGCTGGGATGCTGGGGGTGGGGCTGGGCACATCAGCGGGTGCTGAGCGTGCATCCCATGGTGGTGATGGGCTGGGACCAATTGGTTTCAAAGAAACCCAGAAGTCACACGGAGGCGAGGGGGGGGCGGCGCTGGGAGGGGGGTTGGAGTAGGTGGGCCTGGAAGAAAAATAGCAGGGGGACCCTGAGACCTGCTTGAAGTCTGGACCTAAGAAATGTGTGGGTGTGTTCGGCAGCGGAGTGTGCAGAAGTGCCTAGAAATGTTGGGGAAAGAAAAGGAAGCAGGCCTGGGCTGGTCCGGGCCCTTTCAGAATTCAGGGCCTCGGCCGGGCCGGACTGGCTCCCTCCAGCATCTCCCCAGCCTCCTTCCCCGCCGCGTACAATGCCGGGGATTATGCCGAGGGGCGGAGCCGCCCAAGTGGCCGTCTGGCCCGCTGCACTTATAAAGGTGCTATAGAAATGTGCAGTCATTCAAAGTCCCAGGGCCGGCGGGCCGGCGGGCGGGCCAGGGGAGGCTTTGCCTCTGCAGTTGCTGGGGCAGCATAAAGGGGGGCAGAGGCGAGGGCTGATTTACAGTGGTTCAGTGCAGCTTCAAAGAAGGGGGAGAAAAGCAACGGGACTTCTGGCTTGGAGCACTGCTTTGCATCTTGTCTTGCATAAATTTGCATACTGAGTTCAAAGTCGTAAAATAGTCTCGGGGAATGAGTGGGACCCACTGTCAGCGATTGCTAGCATCACTACCTTCCGGCCCCCCCACCCCCACCCCCTTCTGGACGGAACACCCAGAACTAGCTCTGCTAAGCCGCTCTGCCTGAGTATGTTGGAAGGGGAGATGGGGGACTAGAGGGCTGCTGCTCCTGGGTTCTTCTGGGGAGACCGGAGACTTACAGTTCCTGGACTACAGGATCAAGCTGGGTGTGGCTCGGGGCGGGCGCTATGGCCTTGGAGGCAGGACTGGTGTGGAGGGCGTGACTCCCAGGTTCTGAACCAGCCTGGCAGAGGCAGGCAGTGTTGGAGTCTTTGCCTGCAGGCTCCCTGTTCACCTTCCACTCCTGCCTAGAGTTCACTGAGCTCGTTCCCTTTGTGTAGAAATAATGACCCATGGTTGGGTGGCATCACTGACTCAGTGGACGTGAGTTTGAGCAAATTCTGGGAGATGGTGAAGGACAGGGAAGCCTGGCGTGCTGTGGTCCATGGGGTTGCAAAGCATTGGATATGACTGAGTGACTAAATAACAATGACCCCATCTATTCCTTTAATGGGGTATTCAAGTGAGCTTTGAGGGGAAAAAAAGTCCTATATAACAGTGTCAGAGAACTTAGAGAAACAAAACCAGAGGTAAGGAGCCTCTGAATTAGGATAGGTGGTGGAGTCTAGGGGGAAAGAAGAACTTGTCTGTTGTGGACATGTGTGTCTTTCTATGCAGTGGTTCTTGACCTGATTGGATCATTGAGTTTCCTGGCAGGCAGAGGGCAAAGGGAGGCTTAGATTTTGTCACTGTCACAGTGCTTACCTTAGGACTCAGCTTTAAAATAAGCTTTTCAGGCACATAGTTTTCTTTGGGGGAAATTATTCCTATAGAAATGCCTGCAGGGTTTCTGAGAGTAATGGCTGTTACTCAGCTAGAGTCATCAGCTGTCAGACAGAGGATGACTTAGAGAGCGTCTCTGTTCTCTAGCCCATTGATCAGGTTAGCTTCTAGTCATTTCTCAGATTAGCTATTCTCTGCTATAGGAAACAGAGAAGGCAATGGCGACCCACTCTAGTACTCTTGCCTGGAAAATCCCACAGACGGAGGAGCCTGGTAGGCTGCAGTCCATGGGGTTGCGAAGAGTCGGATACGACTGAGCGACTTCACTTTCACTTTTCACTTTCACGCATTGGAGAAGGAAATGGCAATCCACTCCAGTGTTCTTGCCTGAAGAATCCCAGGGATGGCGGAGCCTGGTGGGCTGCTGTCTATGGGGTCGCACAGAGTCGGACACGACTGAAGTGATTTAGCAGCAGCAGCCATAGAAAATGGGACACACAATTGCTAAGTTTTGATATGAGCAAGTTCCAAAAATTCTTGGTTTAATGAAATGCAGGATTGGGGGGGGGGGCGTTGGGCAGGATGGGAGGGCAGGGCAGGAAGTGCTAAAGGGAATGAGAGAGAAGCAGAAAATGAACAGGCTTGGGCCCACGTTTGGTTTTGTTGTTGGTCCTCCTTACATACTACAAAACTATGGAAAAAATAATGTTTGGTCATCATTATTATTGTTTTTAAGGAGACTGCATATCTAGGGACTGCATTTAGTTTTAGTCTTTCTTTTCTCTGTCCACCTCTGCTTTCTCCAGCCTG